TCTTCAGTATGTGCCCAGAGCTGCAACGGGTGTTTAAGAGGTTATGGAGAAAGCCGTAGCCTTCACTCTCAGGATGTTTAATGTCTAGTTGAGGAGAAAAGACAAATGAATTCTCCATCTCAGGACTTGGCATATAGTAGACACTCAATACTTGCTTGATGCTAGGATGAGTGCTGCTGAACAAATGTTAACTGTCCCTGAATGACAGGTGCTAAAATAATTGTGTGTTGCAGACTAGAATTGCTGTCTGAGCCAGAAGACAGGCAGTGGTGTGGTTTGGGAGTAGTCAAGAAGGAGGTAGAGGTTGGGTTGTTTTGTAGGTTGGGTTGGATATAGAAGTATTTTTTTATTGAGGTATAATTGACATATAACATTATATTAGTTTCAGGTATACTGCATAGTGATTCAATATTTGCATACATTGTGGAGTGATCACTGCAATAAGTCTAGTTAACATCTGTCACCATACATAGTTACAAATGTTTCTTTCTTGTGATGAGAATTTTTAAGATCTACTTTTTAGCAACTTGCAAATATAATAATATGGCTTTATTAATTATAGTGTCCATGCTGTACATCACATTCTCATGAATTACTTATTTTGTAACTGGAAGTTTGTGCCTTTTTGAAGGTATTTTTTTGAACGAAAATTGGACAGGACTTGTGACTGTTTATGTTGGGGGTGGGGCATGAAAGAGTAAAAAGCCAGAGTTTGGTTCAGGTCCTGGGTCACTGGGAGCCAAGCAGAGGACTATGTTTGATCTTGGACCTGATTAGCTTAAGTTGTTAGCAAAAGATCCAAGCACAACTGCACAGTATTTGGACTATCTGGAACTGAGGGACAAGACTATATTAGAAAAACTCATCTTTCTACCTGAGAGTCTCCAGAAGATGTAGGCCCTAGCTCCAGCTTTGCAGCCAAAAAACCCTATGTAATTCAAGGCAATTTACAACGCCTCCCTGGGCTTTGATTTCCTCATCTGTAAAGTGGAGGGAATTACTAGGTGGTTTTAATGAGATAACATTTGATCAGCAACCAGCACAGTATCTTGGATTTGGAAAGAACTCTGTACTTGTTGGAATACTTTCCTTCTAGCTGTAAAGCTCTAGGATTCTGAGATTTCTTTGAAATGTGAAGAGTACTTACTGTATCTGCCTTCTACGGCTGAGTTTTCACTTAGTAGCTTTTTTCCCAGCAGAGCCCACCCGTTTCTATTATGGAAAGGTCAGAATGTGAGGGAGGGAAGGTTGTACATGTTGTGACTCAATCTTCTCAGACTTGCTAAATTTTGAGCATTTGCAGTTTTCATGCTTGAATCAGAAAAGCCTCCATTTTGGCTGACTCCAGCCCTCCACTCTGGGGAGTACAATGGGCAGGTAGCCATTAGTACACAGGAAGGGAGGGCTTTGTGATATCTTAAAGCTATTGGATTTTATTTATTTCCAGTTTGCTCAACATTTGTTCCACAGATCTGGACAGTTTTAAAATGGGTGGGGATGGGGAGAGAGAAGATGAAACCTAACTAGACTGAGAGAGAAGGATGAACAGTTTTGTCTTTCAATATCAAACTGAGGCTCTTAATAAAACTCAAAAAGACTTGTAGGCATAATTTTGTTTTTATGAAAACATGACTTTCTACATGGCATCTGAAGGGTAGACTCTGGTTTGAGAAATTGTTTCACATTTTGTGACTAGGATAGCATTTTTTTCTTTCCAATTAAAAAGATATTTTTCAGGCTGTAAAGTAATACAAGCTCATTGTAGAGAATTCGGAAGTTACAAATATCAGAATATGAAAATAATTCATAATTCTACTATTAGAATCATTGTTAATATTTTATTTATTTCCTTTCTGTCTTCTTTCTTTTTGCATGTGTGCACAGACACACACATGCAGGAGATCATACTGTATGTTCATCTGTATCCTCCCTTTCTCCACTTAATTTAGGTTGTGAGCATTTTCTCATGTTGTTATAGACTCTCTTAAACATGATTTTAAATAACTACATAGCATTTATAGTATAAATGTTACTACATAAGATTTTATAATATAGACATTGAAGTTGATTTCACTTTTTCTCTATTTTTTCACTCTTTCTCTATTTTAAATGATACTACAATGAGTTTCCTAGTATTTATATCTTTTGTGCATTTCTGTTTTTTTTTTAGGATAAGTCCTTAGAAAGAGAGTTACTGGGTGAAAGGACAAGAACACCATTAAGGCTTTGGCACATTTTGGCAAATGACCCTGTGAGAAAGTTGTACCAATTTGCATGCCCAGTAGTGTTTGAGAATGCCTGACCCACTACATTGATACAGAATACTTCACCATATGTGTGAATGACAATATTTTGGATCATTTCCATTCAAAAGGCATTTACTGAGCACCTATTATGTGTAGTATACCAGGCTAGGTATGAGACTCACCCCCCATTATGCAGTGTAAGTGCTACACAGATAACACACATACAAAGATGGTTAAAAGTACAAGTAAGTGTAGTCACATATAAATATCTGTGGCCAGGGTTGATGTCATTCAGCCTTCAAATAGCTACTTTTTGAGGAAAGACACTGTGCTAGCAAATTTTCAAACAGAATTGCAATCTCATACATGCTTAAAAAAAAAAAAAGAAATGCACTAATGTGAACCTTGCAAACAACAGGGGTTGAGTTGTAATCATTTACACTGTATTTCCTGATGTAAATTAAGGTCAGAATGGAGAGGAATATGACAAATCCACAAAAAAGCAAAAAAAAAAAAAAACCTATTTGGGTGAAAGGACAATTTCTGCTTTTGTCAATTCCCTTTAGAAAGTTAACCTGTTAGTTATCAGAGAAGGGGGACACAGAACACACAGAAACACACTCCTTCTGGCAGCTGGGGATAATTTGTCAGTCTCCTTTGAAATGTGGCTTTGTGCTCACTGGTGAAGGCAGCTGGAACAGCAAAAGCATGACAGACAAAAGCTGAAATCCACATGAAGAAAGGTCTTTTTCCCCAGAATTACTGCCTCAGTTAGTAATGGTCAGAACAGAAAGTACATGTATATGTTCCCAGCAACAAGCATGTCCAGAGCTAGAGAAGGCCCCGATACTACAGGAGCCACTGAGAATTGTAGTAGCCCTGAATGGGGCTGCTGGATAGCCTTTAAACAAGCCCTCTCAGCCACATGAAAAATTATACCCTCAAATGTAATCCATTTAAAACAGAGATGAAATGAATGAAAGTATCATGTTTTAAAACCTAGTCAAAAGCATTTACTATTCTGAAAAGGAAGACCCACTTAATATATAGTGGATACTGTCTAGAGATATAGAAATAGAGGTTTTAGTATATGATTTCAAGTTAAAAGGTAACCAATGGAATTCACTAAAAATAATGCTATCCAACTGGAAACTACGCAAATGTCTTTCAACTGGAATGAGTACACTGGTACATTCAAGTGATGGAATACTACTCAGCAATGAAAACAATGAACTACTGAGACATAAATCTCAAAATAATTAAAATGAGTGAAAGAAGCAGTGTAAAAAGATCACACATTTCTATGACATTCTGGAAAAGGCAAAAGTATAGGAATATAAAACAGATCAGTGGTTACCAGGGGTTGGGAGTGAAGGATGGGGTTGATTACAAAGGTCAGCATAAGGAAGTTTTGGGGGTGATATATATTGATTGTGATGGTAGTTATATGACTTTTTGTATTTGTCTAAACTCATAGAACTGTATAACCCAAATAGGAAATTTTAGTGAATACTATTTTAAAAGGTGAATTTAAAAACCTCATAAAGATAATACTATCAAACATGGGGAGGTGGAGAAAGAAAGGAGGTTAAGAGTAATGCTAAGTGAGCTAAATTCATAGTTTTTACAGCAAGGAGTCAATAGATAAGGCTCCAACTGGATAAATTAAGAAGTAGGAGTAGAGACATATTTAGAAATATTGAAATAACCACCAGATGAATTGAAAACAGAATCTCTTAAAAATGGTTGCTTCTGAGGAGTGATACTAGGGGTAGGGCAGAAAACTTTTTTTTTTTTTAAATTACAAGCATTCTTATATTACTTGATTTTTAAAAATCATTCTCATGTATTACTTTGATTTAGAAATAAATACAGTGGAAAATGCACTGGACTGGGAATCATGAAACCTGATCGCTAACCTTCAGTCAGCACTAATTGAGCAACTCCCTTCTCTTTGAGTCTTGGTTTCTATTGATATATCCATAATATAAAGGGGTTGAACTAGATGACCTTTAAGATCCCTTTCGGACCTAAAAGAATTTATAACATCAGGTGACTGGCATACCTACAACAATTCTTTATTGAACCCAAAGCTAAGAAACAGACATTCTTATTTTTAAACCTGGAAGGGACTTAGTCATCAAATTAAAGACTCTTTTTAACCACTGAAGAAAGCAAGACACAGATTTGTTAAAAAAGATCCACTTGGAATGACAGTTTATTGGCACAGAGCTAGGACTGGAGCTTAGGTCTCCACCCGAACTCTTGCCATTGCACCACCCAGCTTCTACTGGGTCTAATGGAATTATTCCCAGGCACCAAGGCTGGGAGAAATTCCCGGAGATGACACCAGGCATGAAACTCATATGCTTACATGGTTCCACTGGCCTGGGAAATGAGTCAGAATTTTGGAAGTGGTCCCTGACATAAGCATGGATGATGCAGTACCATAGGCATCCCCAAGTTGATTAAGGCTATGTCGGAGCCCAATCTGAGGACTCCACTTACTAATAACTGGAGAATCGACCACCTAAGACAGCTCCTGCCAGCCCACTCACTTTCTTTTTTGTGCGATAGGAATCCCACCACTCAGAAATACCACCCTTTTCATTCTGATTTAAAACAATATTTTTCTCATTGGTCTTTTATCTCTACAGCCTCTAAGCGCATAACATATTTCGCCGAAATCTATGAAGTATGATAGATACGTCCACTTGGAAACATATATCAGCCATCATCAAATTAAAACAATACCTGGGTATGGTTTAGTAATCCTCCTAGAAAGCGAGTTGAAACAGATCCCAGACTTTGACCACACCACCTCCTTAGGAAAGACCTTCCACGTTGGCTAGCAAGCTAGCTGTGAGCATGTGCGTTGTGCCAAGTGTCTTGCCCACCCCCCCCCCTTCGCCTGAGCCTGAAGGCTCACTGGCCCCTCATCGCACAAGGTCTGAGATTTAGAGAATAAGGACACCATTATGTGGGGCTATCATTCTTCCCCGGTGGAAACAATGCTGCCCTTTGTAAGCTCCCAGCAAACTTCAAAGGGTGTGGCTATCTCTCTGTGCTCCCAGGGAAGCCTCCTTGGGAAACATCGCTCACAGTGTCCTTCTAGTACCAGAATCTTCTTCAGCTGATAAGTGAGTTACAGAAGGAATTTTTAGACTACTCCCCCACAGCCTGTTGGTGCTCTATGTACCTTAGAAACAAGATTGTGTTTTTTTTAGTCTTCCTCCCTTGGAAAACACTTGTTTGCCAACTTTTGTGCCCCCCTCCACTCCTGAATCAGGGCTCCCACTCAAGTCTGGCTGTCTGCCCAGTTCTGAATCTTGCCTTACCTACTGCCTGGCGTTTACTTCACAACAGCTGGCCCAGGGATCTTGAGTACTTAGCCTCAGCTGCCAGCTTAGGGAAGGAGAGGCCCCTGGAGTTGAGCCTATGACAAAGACAGCACTTGTTCCCACACCAGTATTCTCAATGTCAACAGCAGTGACAGGCTTGGTGAGAACTCCACAAGCCCAGGGATGTTTAGACATCCAGCTTTCAGACTGGCTTCGACTCTCCCCACAATGCTCTGAGGTGACTAGAAACCAGTAAAAAGATTCTCATTTTACAGTGTGGAAAGGCAAACACCTGGACACTAGGGATTTACCCAAGGGAACGACGATCATAGTGTTCAAAACAAAAACCAGGGTACCCGGTGATGACAAACACTGGTTTCTGTGATTTGCCAATTTGTTGATGTGAAAAGTGCTGTAACCTGGCTTGCTTGTCACTAAGTGAGATTGTGTGTGCCACCCAAAGTGATGGAAAGGAGGTTGATGTGAGAGTTCATGCCCTGTGGTTCATGCCCTGTGGCAGGATGGCAAAGAGAGGCTCTATCCAAGACCATCTGTCCTGGGGCACTGCATGGCATTCCTGCCTTCCTTCCACCAACAAATGTTGACTGTAGTGGAAACAAGGAATCCTAACCACCTGAGCACCAGGGAAGTCCCAATATGTATGTATGTGTGTGTGTATATATATACATATATATATATACACATATACATACTGTGTGTATATATTTATACATGCATACATACATATATCTTCTGGTGGCACAACCAGTAAAGAATTTGCCTGCAGTGCAGGAGACCTGGGTTCAATCCTGGAGTCGGGAAGATCCCCTGGAAAAGGAAATGGCAACCCACTCTGGTATTCTTGCCTGGAGAAATCCCATGGACAGAGGAGCCTGTTGAGTTACAGTCCGTGGGGTCTCAAAGAGTTGGACACGACTGAGCAACTAACTTTTTTCTTTCTCTATTTTTGTAATGATATCCTTGCATATCTAGAAAACCTGAGATGTGAGTGAATTATAATTTTACATCAAAAGTTAATGAGAGTTCAGTAGAGTAGTTAAATGTATAGTGAACATGCAGAAATAAAAAACTTCCTTATACACCAGCAATAACCAGTTAGAAAATATGCAAAAAAGACACAAGTCATAACAAGAGGTGTGCATGGGAATATTACCCAGTTCAAAGAGCTGGGTGTCTCCTCTAAACAATTCTAGGACACCCAGGCCTAGAAGCAGTGCCATGGTGACAGTTTCCCAGGCCTATTAGCCTCTGGCCTTGGCCTTGGCCTTCTCCCTCTCAGGGCTCAAGCCCAGTTCAGGGGCTGCCTGTCCAGCTCCAGGCGGTCCTATCAACTTCCTTGTTCTCTCCCCAGTCAAGATACAATTGCTCCCATAGCAGACTAGTTTGCACAAATGGTTCCCAGCCTCTCTCATAGACAATTTTATGTATCTTTCTCCTCCCAAAGCCACTTTTGCTTCTTGAAGTGAAGTGAAGTGAAGTCCCTCAGTCGTGTCCGACTCTTTGGGACCCCATGAACTATAGCCTATCGTGCTCCTCCATCCATGGGATTTTCCAGGCAAGAGTACTGGAGTGGGCTGCCATTTCCTTCTCCATTGCTTCTTGAACCACATATTAATTCTCTTAAAGAGTACCTGCTTGAAATTTGCAGGGAGGAGAATTCTGAGCAATTTTCCCAGGGAATATTTGTTTGGTCATTAAGATTGTGGGTTCAAGTATGGAGATTCCTTTAAAAAAACTAGGAATAAAAGTACCATGTGATTCAACAATCTCACTACTAGGCAAATACCCCAAGGAAACCATAATTGAAAAGGACACACGTACCCTAATGTTGCAGCACTACTTACAATAGCTAGGGCATGAAAACAACCTAGACGTCCATCGACAGATGAATGGATAAACAAGTTGTGCTACATATACACAATGGAATATTACTCAGCCATGAAAAGCAACATATTTGAGTCAGTTGTAGTGAGTTAGATGAACTTGATGTTGCTGCTGCTGCTAAGTCACTTCAGTCGTGTCCAACTCTGTGTGACCCCATAGACGGCAGCCCAGCAGGCTCCCCCGTCCCTGGGATTCTCCAGGCAAGAACACTGGAGTGGGTTGCCATTTCCTTCTCCAATGCATGAAAGTGAAAAGTGAAATTGAAGTTGCTCAGTTGTGTCCGACTCTTAGCAACCCCATGGACCGCAGCCCACCAGGCTCCTCCGTCCATGGGATTTTCCAGGCAAGAGTACTGGAGTGGGGTGCCATTGCCTTCTCTGTAGATGAACTTAGAGCCTATTATAGAGTGAAGTAAGTCAGAAAGAGAAAAACAAATATCATATATTAACACATATAAATGGAATCTAGAAAAACGGTACTGAGGATCCTATTTGCAAGGCAGCAAAGGAGATGACATAAATAACAGACTTTTGGACGCAAAAGTCTTCCCCCCTTTTTGGGGGAAGGAGAGGGTGGGATGAATTGAGACACTAGCATTGAAACATATATATTACCATATGTAAAATAGATAGTGGGAATTTGCTATACAACACAGGGAACCCAAATCTGGTGTTCTGTGACAACTTAGAGGGGTGGGATGGGATGGGAGGTGGAAGGGAGTTTCATGAGGGAGGGGACATAGGTACACATATGGCTGATTCATATTAATGTATGGCAGAAACCAGCACAATATTGTAAAGCTATTACTCTTCAATTAAAAATAAAATAAATAAAGCAAATTAGATCTTCAAAAAAAAAAAAAAAGAAAAGATTACAGGTTCAAATCCCACCTCTCCACTTACTAGGAGCCTTTAGTCAAATCCCTTCAGCTCTCTATCACTTTCCTCATCTACAAAATGGGGGATAAGTGATCCTAAAAGTGATCTTCACTTTTAGGGATATGGTGAAGCTTAAATGAGTTTATGTATGTAAAGGGTTTAGTAGAGTCAGGCATATGGGAAGATCTCAATATGTGGGAGCTGCTGTCACCACTAAAACAAGAATAGTTTGTCAACAATGAAAATCAAAGGTTTCATCTCTTGTAAGCTACAGACTGCTAGCTGCAATTAAATAGGGTTTTCAGACCCCTAGAGAAGAAAATGGCAACCCACACCAATATTTTTGCCTGGGAAATCCCATGGACAGAGAAGTGTGGTGGGCTACAGTCCAAGAGGTTGCAAAAAGAGTCAGACGCAAATTAGCGACTAACCAACAACAAACAAGACCCCTATCTTCCATTCAAGAAAGTTTCAAAAATATCAGTCTTAGTTTCAGCCTGGGACCCCCAAACACAACTGCCTAGGACCACTCAGAGTACACAGGCTCAGATATTAAACTAAGAACTTACCACCTAAATGGACAGACAGAAGTCACCCACATGAAACAACCAGTTTCAGTGAGAACCAGTGACAAACTCTCAGGCGCATGCATATAAGGAAATATATCTATATAGAAACATGCATAAGGAAATACATGATCTCCCCACAATGCTCCCTAAGCCCTCAGGCCACAGGGCTCTATTTATCCAGCAAAGGTAATTCAAACACCACAAAGTCATTTTTATATTCCTTTAAAGTTTGTAAAAACAAGATTCTCTTCTTCCCTTGATCATGAATGTATGGCACCTTCACCTACCCCGCTGAGGAGCTGAACCCGGAATGAATCCAGTCGCTGTCGGCAGCCTTGATCAAGTGCACGGCCCCTGCCCTCTGGGGGTTTCTGGGGCTGATCCAGGCTTGGCCTCTCAGGCACGCAAGGCAGGTAGAAGCAGTGCTTCAGAGCTCCAGCCAATGTGATGCTTGGAGGGGGTCAACGCTCACCACTCCTCACCCAGTGTCCAGAGCAGGAGTGAAGAACTGCCTCACAGCCCTGGGTTTTCTCAACTGAGGGAAGTGTTCAAATCTGAGGAAGAAAATCTCAGGACAACCCAGGGAACTGAATCCCGAGCCCCCTTTGCAGACCTTGCTTCTGTACCTTTCACACTGAAATGTCAACAAAATTGTTTCACCGCTGAACTAGGGCCTTGACCAATCTCTGCAGGCTGACAGAGGTGTCTTTCCATTACAGAAGTTTCACAAGACCTGTTACATTAAGTATTAATAGAAACCTGGGCAAAGGCTGAAGAGGGGGACTGCCTAGGGGTTTTGTCACTCTACCCTTCAAAGCCTTTCAGGACACAGGGTGCTACCCTGCACATAACCTAAGGGAGTTACATTCCTTCCCTTTTTTCCTTTCCTTTGCTTTTCTTTACCCCTTCCTTCCTTCCTCCTTCCCTCCCTCCCTCCCTCTCTTCTTTCTTTTGATAGCGTGCAATTTAGCTAATTCTTCTAAAATTTCATTTCCCTCATATCTGAAATGTGGAGAATAACTCAAAAGACTGTTGTGAAGATAAAACAGGATAATGACTTTAAATTGTTTAGTAATATGTTGTACTTAGCAAGCCTTCAATACACATTGACTACTATTATTATTACTGGTTAATCCTCATATATTTCATCTCAGTAAATTACCATAGCTTAGTATTAATTTCAGAAAGTG